ATCAAAAAAGTTTCATTCAGTTTTCTTACTTACCATTTTCGAGTAACTCGCATTAAATTTCTTCGTATAAATTGTTTCTTCTTCGGTAGTAKTATCGGCCACACAGGAATTATTACCGAATCGATCAACTCTGATTGTTTGAACCTGTGTAATGTAGATATGTCGTTTATCAGAGCGTGAGATTTTATCAATCAATTTCTCCATGACAGTATTTTGTATTACACCATAAATCAAATTTTAAAAAAATCAAAAACAACAGCAATAACAAGAACCAAAAATATTATGGTTAAATATAAAACCTAGATAGAGCCTTTCGTAGCAAAATATATATTGCATGAATGAAACACTGTGCAAAAAAAAAAAATATATATATTATATATATCAATATGAATACATGCATCAGTACTTTCGGAGATCAATGCGTTCGCCATCTTGAAAAGTGAGCCGTCCCAATTTTTTTCTATAACTCCTAAAGGACTTAAAAACTCCTCAGCTAATGTCCAGTTATTATCATACGATATAATGATAGGTAAGTTGACTTAGCAACTACAAAATGTGTTCTAAGGCACAACTTAGTGATTCGGGTCTCACTTTTCAAGATGGCTAACGCATTGTTCTCCGAAAGTACTGATGCATGTATAATGTAAGGTCATTGGTAAAGACATATTTGCACTGGTCAATCAGCTATTATCCCTTTTCAGGCAGGAGAAATAATGTAGTCGGGACACAAATAGAGGTTTAGATATTTAAATAAATTTATATTATATTTAACTAAATTTCGTAAATGTGATTATGGCTTGGTGAGCTGAAAAATTGACAATAAAACAAAATTATGAAAGGTTGAAGTATCGTATAATATTATTCACCTACACCCAACTATTTGTTCCATAAATGTTGCCATAACTTTTGTGAAAAGAGTGTTTTGCTGCTTGATGTGATCATTTGATGATCAGCTTGGAACGACCGTTATAACATGGCTTGTGGACATTGCTTACCATTCTCAACCCTTGTGATATCGAGAAGCCTGGTGCAAGGCTTACTCCCTCTTTGTATGGAAAAGGTGTTTTTCCCCGCGGTGATATGTGTGCAATAGCCCCAGCATCTTGAGTMAGTTGATCGATGTATTCGTGCTGTTCGATATCTAGTTCCAAAACCAAACCTACCAACGGAGAGATACTGTTATTTTAAAAGGCAATCCGACCTCCATAATCTGAAGTCAAAAACTCCCAAATGTCTGGTCGTTGGTCGTTTGTGTTAAGCTCTTTGTATGTTTCTACATACCGTGTGATGGCCCTGATTTTGCMGTTGTTAAGCTTTCTAAATCTTTTCGGTTCGGGTTGAATATGAAGCAATTTCCAAATTTGTAGTGCCAAAATGTACTCCAATACAAGTGAGACCTGATACAAAAAAAGATATAAAAAAAACAAAAAGCATATAAAAACACAATTTTCTCACATTCGATATTCTGGTTAACTAACTACTGTGAAGAGGCTCAGTGGGAGCAATACACCTTTTCAGTTGACCTCGATAGCAAGTTTTAAAAATATTCTTTTGAATTTGCTAATTAAGACTATTCATATCAATGTGTGCATTGCTCACATTCCTACAAGTTCGAGTCCTGAGATCAACTGTAAAGGTGTATTGATAATTTCTTTTCGGGGACCCTCGTCTTCATTCATMACTATCGGTATACGGCATGATTTTTGAAGCGTATCTTTTTGGATCTCTGAAAATTCAGAAATTGTGATAACGGATAAAAAAAACAGACTGAAGCAGATCTTTTTTTCATTCACTTTACATACCTACAATGAAGCCCCTGATATTTACAACTTAAAATCAAATTTTCAATCTGATGGCCATGTGGTTTGAGTGTTGACTCGTCTTGTCCAGCCAGCAGCATTGCAGTCTCCTCGATTATCTTATATTCTTCGTCAGTATGCTTTAGATGCTGTAGACTTTCATGGTGGAATTCCAMTGGCTTTTCTTGGGCGCTATTACTTGCATTGCGTGCTACAAAGGTTCAAAATTAAACAAGAATCAAATTAAATAGACCATTAAGATAAAGTAAGGAAATAGCTTATATCCCCAGACATACATTCATTCGTTATTTTTTATTTTTGAAAAATTCATATATACTTCTACTTGCGAAAAGGGTTGTCAGAGAAAATAGGACGTTTGTATTTAGTAAAAAAGAATAAATTAAAAAAGACAAAAGAAGATCACTGAGGCTGAACGCTCTCTTTTGTCTTGTTTCAATTTATTCCTTTTTACTAAATTCAAATGTTCTATTTTCTTTGACAACGTTTCTGAAAGCAGGTGTATGTTTTTATTGGAACCTACTAGGATTTATACATTTTAGGTCAAGCACAATTTTTTTATATAATTCGCAGGGGCTATGGTGTAATTAAGGTCGTCCATTTTGGTTTCTTGTATAAGTGTTGTAGCTTTAAAGCAGCGAGCAAGGTCCGAATATTATTGGTATTCAGAAATATGTAATAAAGATGCGAATATTCTTCATTAAACGGAAAAGAAAAGAAAGTGAAAAGGAGGGTCTGGGTAAGATAATGTAGTGTTGTAGCCTTTTTGATAGTACAAGATC